AACCACAGGAGAAACTGACATTTAAAGGGGACTCCTTGCCGGGCGTTGGTGGTGCACACATGCCTTTACTTTAGTCCTAGCACTTAGGAGGCAGAGGCAGGCAGATCTCTGTGAGTTCAGATCTCTGAGAGTTCGAGGCCAACCTGGTCTACAGAGCAAGTGCCAAGATAGGCTCCAAAGCACTATTGTCTCGAAAAAACATTAAATAAATAAAAAATAAAGGGCACTCCTCTAGTCTCTGGTGTGAACCATGTTAAAAATTTGGACAAAACAGACACTTGGAGGCAGAGGCAGGTGCATTTTTCTGAGTTCAAGGCCAGTTAGAGCTACAAAGTGAGGTTCTGTCTCGAAACAACAAAACAAAGAAACAAAAAACCCCACAAAGCAAAGTTAGTGTATGTATGTCACCCCAGAACAGGGCACCAAACTCTTAAGGTCCCCCTAGTGGCCAGGTCAGGAGAGAGCTTGTTTCTCTCCAAGGCTGGTGTGGTGGGCAGGGGTGGGGCTAGAGAGAGCAGACAAAGTGTCTCCTCAGGCAGTGGGGACACAGGGGCACCTGCCTGACAGCTTTCTAGAGCAAGCCCAGAGAACAAACAACGCTAACGGCCAGCAAGATGGCTCAGTGGGAAAATGTGCTTGCCCTGCAAGGCTGCTAGCCTGAATCTGACGTCCAGAACGTACGTAAAAATAAGAAGAGAAGCAACTCCACCAACTCCACGTGCGTACCGTGACACACGCAACCCACATATACATCATACATGTACATAATAAAGGTTTTAAAAATTAAAAAGGCAACTAAATGATTTTTATCAACTGTGTTAATTTTATCAACTAACTGTGCCTGGTGGCATAGGCCTGTAATCCCAGCTATTCGGAAACCTGAAGCAGGAAAACGACAAGTTTGAGGCCAGCTTGGTATACAGAGTGAGCTCAAGGCTTAGTCAGAATTTATCTCACAAAGTGGAAAGGGGAGTGGGGTGTAGCTTTGCCGGGCAATTGTGAGGACTTGGGTTCAATTTCTACTAGTATTTCAAAAACAATAAAACCCTTTTTATTATAAAAGTTCCTAACATATGTATATATTATTTTTATTTTTGAGACAAGATTTGATGTAGCTCAGCCTGTCCTCGAACCCGCTATGAAATCAAGTGCCCTGGCTAGTTTCATGTCAATTTGACACAAGTTAGAGGCATCAGAGAAGAGGGAGCCTTAACTGAGAAAATGCATCCATAGATCAGGTCGGATGCAGGCCTCTAAGGCATTTTCTTAATTGATGGTCGATAGAGGAGGGCCCAGGTCATCGTGGGTAGTTCCATCCCTGAGCTGGTGTCCTGGGTTCTGTAAGAAAGCAGGCTGAGCAAGGCATGGGGAGCAAGCCAGTAAGCAGCTCCCCTCATGGCCTCTGCATCAGCTCCTGACTCAGGTTCCTGTCCTGTGTGTGTTCCTGTCCTGACTTCCTCAGGTAATGAACAGTGCTTTGGAAGTGTGTGAGCCAAATAAACCCTGTCTCCCCCAAATTAACCCTGTCTCCCCCAAGTTAACCCTGTCTCCCCCAAGTTAACCCTGTCTCTCCCAAGTTAACCCTGTCTCCCCCAAGTTAACCCTGTCTCTCCCAAGTTAACCCTGTCTCTCCCAAGTTAACCCTGTCTCCCCCAAATTAGCCCTGTCTCCCCCAAGTTTCTTTGGTCACAGTGTTTCATCACAGCAGTAGAAACCAAGGATGGCCTTGAACTCCTAATCTGCTGCCTCTACCTCCTGTGTTGAGAGTACAGGTAGAGTTTTATGCGGAGTGGGAATGGGATTCAGGGCACCTGGCATGGCAACCAGGCACTCTGGCAATGGAGCCCCACCCCCAGCCCCCACCCCCAGCCCCTCAAATATATTTAGTTCACTTTCTGTTGCTATAATAAAGCACCTGAGACCTGTAAATGGGTAACAACAGAGGTCAGTTTAGCCCATAGGTCTCTGTTTCTTTTCTATGTCTTCTTTTTTTAGCTCAGTTTTCAAAGTTCGAGGGCATGACTTCGGCACTGAAGTCTGTTCTGAGCATCATGGAGCGACTGAATGAGAGGAAATGTCACATGGCAGGGTAGGAAGCCAGAGGGGGCTTGGACTTACTGTCGGATTATCATCATCATCATCGTCATCGTCATCGTTGTCATCATAATTTTATGGGTCTTTAAAAAGATTTTATCTATTGTGTACAACGTTCTGCCTGCATGTATGCCTGCAGGTCAGAAGAGGGCGCCAGATCTCATGACAGATGGTTGTGAGCCACCGTGTGGTTGCCAGGAATTGAACTCAGGACCTCTGGAAGAGCAGCCAGTGCTCTTAACCACTGAGCTATCTCTCCAGCCCCTCATTTTATAGTTTTGTTTCGGTTTTTTGTTTGTTTGTTTCTTTTCTTTTTTTCAGACAGTGTCTCTATGTAGCCCTGGCTATCCTGAAACTTACTGTATAGACCAGGCTGACCTCAAACTCACAGAGATTCACCTGCCTCTGCCTGGGGGTGGGGTGCTGGGATCAAAGGTGTGAGCTATCGTGCCTGGCTGCTTTTAATTTTTTTGCAGTGCTGGGGACTGAATTCTTGCATTCCAGGTAAGTGTTCTACTGCTGAGCTATTTAAAAAAATGAAAACACAAACCCCAACACCTCCCCCTAAAAAAACTTTAAAAAATACTTCTTTGTGGGTGCTTGGATACACCACTGACAATGAGTGTTTCTTATATTCCCCCTCCCCTTTTCCTAGATTTATAATGTGTGTGTATGAGTGGTTTTCCTCTATGCATTTATATGCACCATGTGCATGCCTGATGACCATAGACACCACAAGAGGGCATCAGACCTCATGGAACTGGAGTTAAGGGAGGTTGTTAACTGACACAGGCCTGATGGGAACCAAACCCTGGTCGTCTGCAAAAGCAACAATTACCCATAATGGCTGAGCCATCTTCCCAGTGCAGTTTCTTTTCTTTTCCCTTCCTTCCTTCCTTTCTTTTTTTAAAAAACTTTGTAGACTTTATTTTGTAGTGTTTTGTCTGCATATACGCCTGCAGGCCAGAAGAGGGCACCAGATCTCATTGCAGAGGTTTGTGAGCCACCATGTGGTTGCTGGGAATTGAGCACAGGTCCCCTGGAAGAGCAGCCGGTGCTCTTAACCTCTGAGCCATCTCTCCAGCCCCCCAGGCCCATTTCTTGTAGTCTTTGGATACGTCTGGCCACCTGCACTAGGCAGAATGGTGCCTCCACCCCAACGCCACCAAAGGTGTCACCTTCCTAATCCTTGGAATTTATATATATGTTAGGTTACTCGGCAAAGGGAAACAGGGCTCCTGATGCAGTTCAGGTTATTAGTCATCTGACCCTACCATAAAGGGATTATCCAGGATTATCCGGGTGGGTCCCATGTAAACACAGTGTTTAAAAATGTGGGCTTGGGAGGCAGAGGAGGAAGCCAGATGGTGCAGTGTGGGAAGAGGCTTGAAAGGTGGGGGAAGACAGCCGAAAGACCAGAAACACAGGTGGCCCTGGAAACTAGGGAAAGCCAGAAGTGGAGTGAGTGTCTCTAGAGAGACTAACAGGAGTCAGTCCCTCAGGTCCCTTGATTTTAACTCAGAAAGACCCGGTTTGGAATTTTGTTCTAAAAAAATGACAGCAGGGCTGGAGAGATGGGCTCAATGGTTAAGAGCACTGGCTGCTCTTGAGAGGACCGAGGTTCAGTTCCCAGCACTGATGTCAGGATCCTCACTACTGCCTGTAATTCCAGCTCTAGGAGTCTGCCACCCTCTTCTGGCCTCTCTGGGCATTACACTCACATGCACAGCTCCACACACAGGCTCGCGCGCACGCGCACACACATACACATACATAATTAAGAATAAAATATGGAGCTGGGTGGTGGTGGTCCACGCCTTTAATCCCAGCACTCAGGAGGCAGAGGCAGGGGACAGCCTGGTCTACAGAGCGAGTTCCAGAACAGCCAGGGCTACATGGAGAAAAACCTGTCTCAGGAAAAAAAAAAAAGACAAAAAACAAACAAACAAAACCAAAAGGAATAAAATAAGGGCTAGAGAGAATGAGCTGCTCTTCCAGAGGATCTAGAGGTCAACTCTCAGCACCCACATGATGGTTCACTAATGTCTGTAACTTCAGTCCCAGGGGGTCAGAAGCCCCCTTCTGACCTTGGAAGATACCAGGCACGCACACAAATGCATGCAGGAAGAACACTCAGACATGCGCAATAAATGCAACCAAAAGACAGTTTTAAAATCTTTTACAAGCTTGATTACAGGGGAAGCTTTGACAGCACAGCACTTGGGAGCCCAGCGGCAGGAGGACTAAAGTTTGAGTTCAGTCTCATAGTAAGACTCTGTCCAACTACGTCCACCCCAACCCCACTCCACAAAGAAATCAGACAAAGTAGGAAACCAACAAGCAAATGAAACAAAACGAGACGAAATGAAAACAAACGTACAATATAATATAACGTGTGTTGGGGATCGTTAGCTTGTAGGCTTTGTTACAGGGGCAGTGGAGAATTAATCTATCGAGTTATAAGGCTGGGGGGGCGGAAAATCCCGTTTCTTCAGACTAAGGGCTTCACTAGCAGCAGCACCTCAGATGGGGGAGCTTTTTGTCCCCCCACCCCAGGACACGCAGTTCGTCAGCATCCAGGAGGGGAAGATGTGCCCCCACGAGCAAGGGATGCTGGAGTGAATGATCTAGATTCCCAAAGGGGTCAGACCACGGAGTGTTGCTGATGTTGAGCGATGGCGAAGGCACCGGCATCCTAAGGCTTGGTGCAGAGACAAGCCAGGGCAGGGCTGCAACTAGGGGTGACCTGTGGACCAGAGCGCCTGGGTGAGGAAGGGGCAGGGAGGACAAGGAAGGGAGCCAGGTGAGGGAACACCCAGTTCCTCTGGGACATTCAAGTGACACCTGTTGCCACAGACCGAATCAAGAACGAGGGTGGAATGGGCAGATCTATTGTCTCTACAACCACTGGCCCAGCCTGTTTCTGCTGTCCCCCACCCCACCGACGGGATAAAGCCTGCTGTCTTGGAGCCCAGGGAGACGCTGGAGCTGAGCACGATGCAGGGCCTCGCGTGTGGGAGCCGGGCTCCCCTGGGCCTGCTCCTGGTCTGTCTGTCTCTGCCAGGTATGGAGGGCCCTGGGGTCCTTGGGAACCGGGATTACGGTTGCACTTGAGTCCCCAGGGAAGTGAGAAGCCGCAGTACAGAAAGGGGTTTTCAGGGAAGCGGGGCCAGGGAGTCAAAGGAGTAGCTGGTACCAAATCTGTCTCACGGATTCTTTATCTTCTTTTTTTCCCCCCCAATCAGGCCTCTTTGCACGGAGCATTGGGGCACCAGAAGAGAAAATCTCCCCACATGCGGGAAAACCTTCCTTCACCAGCCTCTTCAAGCTTGGGACGGCTGGCTTGGGACAGCCTCAGACCAAACCAGACCCAGCGACTAATGAACTACCAAGGGTTCTTCCAAGGCTCCCCGAATCCCCACCAGATGGCGCTCTACCTGAGGAGGGCTCAGAGGAGCCCAGCCAGCCTTTCTTCTGGGAGGGGTCCCCCCCCATGGAGTCCTGGTTCTACGAGGACCCTCAGCCAGGGATGGAGGCCGCTGCCAACGACCGCTCGGAGCAAGGACTTCCAGAAGCCCTGCCATACCTTTCCAGGGACAGTCCCGGACCTGTGGCTTTCTCTGCATCCGAGGCTTCCGGCCCCGAGGACTCAGAGCCTGATTCCAGCGCACTGAGAACGGAGGCAGAAGAAGCCTTTGCCCAGCACCCATTCTGGTTTCTCATCCGCAGATTGCTGCCTGGTTTTCCCTGGGGGATCCTAAGTCCCAATGTGCCTTGGGGAGGGGCGGGAACTGCGTGGGGAAGACGGCCCATGCCATACCCTTCTGGAATATGGGGTAGCAATAGTCAGCTACCAGGTACCAGCTTGGTGGGCAACAGTCGGTACCCTCTGGGGAGCTGGGGGGGCTATGGTCCATATCCTGCAGGAAGCTGGGGGGGTATTGGTTGGAATCCTGCAGGAAGCTGGGGGGGCAATGGTCCATATCCTGCAGGAAGCTGGGGAGGTAATAGTTGGAATCGGCTTCTTCCAGGAGTCCGACCCCCTCGTCCCAATCGCCTTCCCCCAGGAGTCCGACTCCCTCGTCCTAATCGCCTTCCCCCAGGAGTCCGACCCCCTCGTCCCAATCGCCTTCCCCCAGGAGTCCGACCCCCTCGTCCCAATCGCCTTCCCCCAGGAGTCCGACCTCCTGGTTCTTCTGGGAACATCCCAAACCTCAGTTTCCCGTGAGCTCAGCCGAAGCTCCGTCATGTTGGGTCACATGGTTTCCCTTTCTCGCCCCATTTTTTTTAATGCTTCCTCTGTTGACCTAAGCTGGTCGCCAATAAACACAAGCAGTTCTTGAATTTGATGTCTCTCTGTCTTTGTTTCTGGGAGTAATGCCGTGTGCCTGGGTCACCCTCATTCTCTAGCCATTCCTATCTCTCTAGGGTCCCCTGCAGAGCCCATCTTGTTGTCCCCATCTTTGGTGGAGAGAGATCAAATCCCAGGTATTTGAGGATGGGCCCCAGCTCGATGCTTTCACCCCCGTCCAGGGAGAGTTGGTTCCAGAATGGTCCTGGGAGGAGTTGAGAGTTCAGCTGTGACAGGGTGGGAGGCAGGAGGTCCTCCAAGTTGGCACCAGACCAGGAGGGACAAAAAAACAAAACAAACAAAAAACCTTTCACAGAACACAGGGCCAGGGAAGGTCAGACGGCCTACGCTCCTTATCTTTTATCCCCAGACGGTCTTGGAAGCGGAGGGGATGTTGATCTCCCTGACATGCATCACTTAGCCCTTTGTGCGCGGAGAGACACAGACTTTGAATGCTGAACAAACAGCAGTCCCGGATAAAGGGAGAGAGAAAAGAGAAAGCCGGGCCTCCGAGCCAGCAACCCCTGTTGCTTTGTTCCCGCGGGCTCACACGGCCCCTTCCTCTGGTTGAGCTGTTGTCTCTCCCTCCACCCTTTGGTTTTCCCAGGAGCTCAGCATCCGGTCCAGCAGGGCAGTGAAGGGGGTGGATCTCACCAGGGCGAAGACACAAGTCAGTGGGGACACACGGGACAGCGTTTCCTCCACTGTGAGGTTTACCCTCTGTGGTCCAGGTGTGCGGACCCTCGATACAGGCTGGCACCTCCCCAGATCCAGGAGGCTGGGCAGCTTGTAGAAGAGCAGCAGGTGGGGTCTGAGGGATGGGAGCCTCCTGTCCGAGTGGGACATACTCTCCTGGTGTCTGTGGTGAGAATTCCTTGTCAAAACACTTCCTCACGAACCCATCTTTCCCCTGACCGACCACGTCTCTTCCCTGTCGCCTCAGCTCAACTCTCTTCCCTCCATGGACTCTTACTTTTCTCAGTCCTAAGGTAAGACTGAGGGACTGGTTTTTTTGTCTCACCATGTGTCACAGGCTTAGTCTCCAGCCTGGCACCCTTAGGAGGCAGCCGAGGCTCTAAGAGGCAGGGCTTAGCAGGGAGGACGGCAGGTCTCTGGGGAGAGGTGCTGTGAAGTAAGACCATGGGAGTCTGCCCCCCTTTTCTCTTGGCTCCCTGGTTTTCGGGGGGCGGGGTTTGGTTCAAGGCACGCTCCCACCTGATGTGCTGCCTCGGGGTAACAAGCCCCGAGATGACAAGGGCATCCTTCAACACCGTGAGTTCAGCTAAAGCCTTTCCTCTGTAAGTCGGTTATCTCAGATGTATAGCTGCCTGCTAAGTCTCCGCAGAACCTGACCCAAGCGGCTGCCGCGCCCCTCCCGGAGCCCCATGAAACTGCCCTCGGCTCCTGCTGCTTTCCGCACACCTCATTATTTTGCCCTCGTTATTACCCGTGGCAGAAGCGTTTTACGATTCTTCCTCTCCAGCAGAGTCAGAGACATGAAGCAACTCACACAGGTCACGGATGACAGAGGCAGTGACTTCAGCCTCATCCATCCAGGGAGGGTTCCGATACAGACGCAATAAGCAGAAATGCCAATTAACTTTTAGTGTGTGTGTGTGTGTGTGTGTGTGTGCGCGCGCGCGCGCGTCTTCACAGACAAGGTATTTGTACACACGCCCTTCCAGCTAATCTTCCCAGAAATCCCCCTCAGGAAGGAGCTGCAGTGACCCTTGTACAGGGGAGATACTGATGCCCAAACAGGGTGGATTGAGGGGCTGCACACAGGACAGGCAACACCCAAGAGAAGGGGGGTGACTTTGATGGTGACTCCTAGAATCTGAGAATGCAACAGTAGAGGGTTCTGAGTAGCTGTAGTCAATCATGTCAGTGGGGTCTTTTTTTTTTTTTTTTTTGGTTTTTCGAGACAGGGTTTCTGTTGGGGAAGTCCTGTGCATTTGTCAATAAAGCACTGTCTGGCCAATAGGGAATCTAGATAGGAGGGACTAGGAGTCCAGAAGGACTCTGGGTAGGAGAAACACAAGAGAGCAAGATGTAACCGCCATGGGGTAGGAAGCCCGGAACTATTCTCCGGTAAGAGAAATACTTAGATTAACAATTATGGGGTAATTACTTAAATCAGAGCTAGCCAGTAAGAAACAAGCAAGGCCAACAGCTTCATAATTAATATAGCCTCCTGTGTGTTTATTTGGGACCGATGCGGCTCTAGAACCAGGCTGGCGGGAAGGCTCCTCTCAAAGAAAAAGCCTCCTTTACAGGTTTCTCTGTATTGTTTTGGAGGCTCTCCTGGAACTCGCTCTGTAGACCAGGCTGGCCTCGAACTCACAGAGATCTACCTGCTTCTGCCTCCCGAGTGCTGGCATTAAAGGCGTGCACCACCAACGCCCGGCTTCAGAGGGGTCTTAAAATTTCTTTACTTTTGAGTGTTTTACCTTCATGAAATGTGTGCACCACAAGTTGAGGCCGGAAGAAGGTGTTGGATGCCCTGGTGGTGGGGTTACCGTCTGTTTATTTGGCTCATACTTCCACAACACAATCCGTCACTGTACTGGCTGGTTTTGTGTGTGGACTCGACCCAAGCCAGAGTGGTCAGAGAGGAAGGAGCCTCAGCTGAGGAAATGCCTGTGTAAGCTCCAGCTGTAAGGCATCCTCTCATTTAGTGATCAATGAGGGAAAGCCCAGCCCGTGGTGGGTGGTGCCATCCCTGTTGGTCCAGCAAGCAAGGGAGGGCAAGCCAGTAAGCAGCCCTCTCCATGGCCTCTGCATCAGCTCCTGCCTCTGGGCTCCTGCTCTGCTTGAGTTCCTGTCCCGACTTCCTCCAGGGATGAACAGCAGTGCTGAAGTGTGAGCCTGATAAACCCTTTCCTCCCCAGCTCGCTCTTCAGTCAGAACAACCCAAACTAAGACAATCACGGAGGGAAGTCAGGGCAGGATCTAAAGCAGAGACCACGGAGGAGGGCTGCTCACCAGCTTGCTCTCCCTGGCTTGCTCAACCCAGGACCATCTGGTCAGGGCTGGCACCGGCCACAAGGGGCTGGGCCTTCCCACTTCAATCATTAATCAGTAAAATGCCCCCATAGACTTGCCTACCGGCTCATCTGTGACTACACCCCAACTCCCTGAGTGGTATACTTTAAACGGGACCTGAAGCTCCTGTTATCCACCGACCATCCCCAATCCTGAACCAAACAGGCCTTCGGGACCAAGACAACAGATTGCACCTGACTAATATTCCGGCGAGAAAGAATGTGGCCACACATTCCTGGTGTTTCTATAAGCTTCTTCTTGGAAGAAGAGAGAGCAGCAGAAGCAGACAGAGGGTTGCCCTCCCGGCTGAGGAACGGGAGCACATGTAGGTACTGGTCTACAGATAGGCAATACCGAAAAACGGACCGCTGGCGGCCATCCACTGACATGAGAGACGGGTGAAAACAGCCTGGCTGGAGGAAAGATGGCTAACCATCTGGGCCAGCGGGTCTCCTCACCTCTGGGCCAGTTGCCTTCTGATCTCAGCGCTGAAAGTGTCTGGTGACTGGGCTCTGTGACCTGGCACTGGCAGGAAATCACTAGACAATCCTCAGGCTGCTAGAGAATCGAGGTAGCCTTGTAAGGTAGTCGGTTCACGGTACACAGAGGGTGGGGGGAGCCACTATCCCCCGGGGCCTCTCGTTTGAGAGGACACCAGTGTGTAGACTAAGGGGGTACAAGACAGATCTGGGCCCCTGTGACACCTTTAACTCACTGATACCCTCCCAGACCCTATGAGGGCAGCCGTTTCCGAGAACTGGTCTCTCCAAAGCATTTCATGTAAGTAAGATCACACAAAACTTTATTGTCCGTTTGCATAGTGTTTTCCATGTGTCAGTACTTCATTCTTTTTTTGGTTTTTCGAGACAGGGTTTCTCTGTATTGCTTTGGAGGCTGTCCTGGAACTCGCTCTGTAGACCAGGCTGTCCTCGAATTCACAGAGACTCATCTGCCTCTGCCTCCCGAGTGCTGGCTTTATTTTTTTAAGATTCATTTATTTATTATGCATACAGTATTCTGCCTGCATGTATGTCGTCTGCAGGTCAGAAGAGGGCACCGGATCTCACTACAGATGGTTGTGAGCCACCATGTGGTTGCTGGGAATTGAACTCAGGACCTTTGGAAGAGCAGTCAGTGCTCCTAACCTCTGAGACATCTCTCCAGCCCCCGAGTGCTGGCTTTAAAGGCGTGCGCCACCAACACCGAATTTGCTGACTTAAATGTATGTATTGTGTCTTACTTAATTTTTTGTTTTTGTTTTTGAGGCGGGGTATCAAATTGCCCAGACTGGCCTCCCGCTAGCTATGCAGCTTCTAACTCTCAGCCCTCCTACCTCTACCTCCCAGTGCTCTAATATATATGTATGTATGTATGTATGTATATGTATATATCATAAAATATACATTCAATATATAGCATATATTATTTATATATACATATATATATTCTCTTAAAATGTTGCCAGGCATGATGGTCCATACCTTTAATACTAAAATTCAAGAGACAGAGGCAGATGGATTTCTATGAGTTCCAGATTACACAGTGAGACCTTGTCTCAAAATTTTTTAAAAAAATATTTTTTATGTTAGTGTGTGTGTGTGTGTGTCTGTCTGTCTGTCTGTCTGCTTACCACAGGCATGCAGGTGCCTGTGCTAGCCAGAAGAGGACATAAGATCTGCGAGAGTTGGGGTTATAAGCAGTTGTGAGTCCTCTGATGAGGGGCTACAGCTGACCTGGGACCCCTGGGACCTCCTGGGACCCCCTGGGACTCTGTGCATTCCCCGTTCTCAACTGCTGATCTTTCTTCTGACCCCACGTTTACTGTTTCAAACGATTTCTTGGGAATATTGAAGGGGCTGGGTGGGAATATGTGTGGGTGATGGAGGAGGTAGATGGGGTGCTCTTGGGAGCTCGGGCAGGGAAATGCCCCGTGTGTACTCAGAACAACTGAGGTGCCTGAAAACTTGCCAGGGGCCGACTCCGGCTGGGCAAGTCATGGGAGGAAATGACTCCTCAGATGTTTCTGTAGGGCCCGGCCTGGCGCATGCATGAGGGAGGCACCTTGTATAATTATTAAATTCGTTTCCTGTTTATATTCTTTTCACATGGGGATCATTGTGACTCCAGCCCGGAGCTTAGTCAGTCTCCTGCTTGTCTCTACCGGACAGGCTCTGTCACCTCCAGTCCTCCAAGCCATCCATCACATCACTCCCTGCTTAAAGGCCAGATGGCTGCAGATCCAGAGCTCACATAAAATGTCAGTCCTGAGCAGCCACCTGACCCTCTGGACCAGGCTGACCCTGCTCCTTATCCTCACCTTGGGCAGGCACGGCTGTCAGGAATGGCATTCAAGTGTTTGGTGAATCAGAATCGGTTTATGAACGCTGCAGGTACCTGCCCTCTGACCGGCCTGCTGATCTACCCTATGACCTGCCCTTAAAGCCGGGATCACTTCTCACCCTGCTCCTGCCATCTGCCCACCTCTTCCTCTGTCCGCCCACTAGATGCTGGCTCCAGAGGTTTCTAGTTCACAAATCCTGGGGAACCTTAGGGGAGTATGGAATAGAGGACAGAAGGAGGGAAAAGGGGACCAGAGGGGAAACTAAAGGAACTGAATTGTCCCTCGTGCCTTAAACAACATCAGCCCTGGGAAGACAGCTTATTGGGAAGCTGCCCGCTACACAAGTGAGCTCGATCTCCAGTGTAGGCGTTAGAAACTGAGGGTTGGGGCTGGAGACACGGCTCAGCAGATAAGAGCACTTGATAATTTTTTTGTTTGTTTGCTTTTCGAGACAGGGTTTTTCTGTGGCTTTGGAGGCTGTCCTGGAACTCACTCTGTAGACCAGGCTGGCCTCAAACTCACAGAGATCCCCCCCTGCCTCTGCCTCCTGAGTGCTGGGACTAAAGGCGTGCGCCACCCACACTCCGGCTGCACTTGCTGGTCTTTCAAAGGACCTGGATGTGGTTTCAGCATGCACACAGCAGCTCACTGCGATCTTTAACTCCACTTCCAGGAGATCCAACGTCCTCTTCTGGCATCCATGGGCACAAGCATGCACATGGTGCACATTCATGCATTCATTTAAAAAAAAAGATTTATTTATTATCTATACAGTGTTCTGCCTGCATGTATCCTTGCAGGTCAGAAGACGGCACCAGACTTCATTACGGATGGTTGTGAGCCACCATGTGGTTGCTGGGAATTGGACTCAGGACCCTGGGAAAAGCAGTCAGTGCTCTTAACCTTTGGGCCATCTCTCCAGTCCCCACATGGAATGCATTCACATGCATAATTAAAATAATGTTTTTTTTTTAATTTGGGCGTGATAGAGAATGGTTACAAACCCCAGTGCTGGTGACAATGGGGTCCCCCAGGGCTCACTGGCTGGCCACCCTGCTCCCGATCCCACTGAGAGAATACAAGGTGGATGGATAGTGCTGGAGAAGAAGGAACCATGTCTGAGGTTGCTTCTGGCCCTCATGCTCACACGCCTCTGCATGGGCATGCAAATATTAGCCTAGAATATCTTTGTAAAAAATTCGAGAGTAAGCCGGGCGTTAGTGGCGCACGCCTTTAATCCCAGCACTTGGGAGGCAGAGGCAGGCGGATCTCTGTGAGTTCGAGACCAGCCTGGACTACCAAGCGAGTTCCAAGACAGCCTCCAAAGCCACAGAGAAACCCTGTCTCGAAAAACCAAAAAAAAAAATTGAGAGTAACACTAATTAAGAGAGAGCAGGGGTCGTCAACTACTGGACAGGCTGGAGCTGACCATGGGAAGAGCAGGTAAATAAAGGTGTGTAGACCACAGGTTGGTCCTGGCCCCACCCCATTCCATTCAGAGGCCTGGGGGTAAGGCAGGGCCGGAGAGATCAAGAGAACCTGGCATCCTATACCGGGCAGACCCCACCTCTCTGGTCACTGACGGTCCATCTGTTCTAAGAGTCTGTTCGTGAATGGTTAGTCTGGTGGGGGAAGCGTTCCAGAGCTTTTCAACTTCTAACTTTGTTCTTTTTCAAGGACCATGCTGAGTGGCTCACAACCAGACCAGAACGACCAAACAAGACAAGCCCTTGCATCCGCCAGTGACTCACAGGTGAGTGTCCTGACCCGTGGCCACCTCCCCACGCTCATGCTGCCTTTCTCATGAGATTGAATAATTACAGCCTGGCTAATGTAACTGATGGACAGGCGTAGGCTCTCTCCACCTCAGTTTCCTTATCTGCGAAACGGGGATAGTCAGAGCTCCCCCGGAACAGGACTGCTGGGATGAAGCCACCCGACATTCACACGTTAGATGCCCTGCCCAGCACTGTGTCACACCGGCTGTAGATGTTAAAACAAGGCTCGTGTAAATGGTCCTGTGCTCTTTTGCAGGCCTGGGATTTAATAAGACCTGGTTGAGATGACTCCCCAAATACCCCCCCTCTCTGACTTTGACTTCATGGTCATCATTTGGGGGTCTGATTGGCAGTTAGCCTTTCCTAGGCAGCTGCACCCTGGACTATGGGCAAGAACATTTTACCTTGGGTAGCTAAGTGGCCAGGCACTGGAGACCCAGCAACAGTCCTGAGTTCGATTCAGTTTCTTTTCTGGGTGTGGAGGTGAGTCCACACAGCTACTGAACGGTAGAGGCTCCCACACACGGTGTAGCCCTTTGACTTTAGCAGGTCATGGCATGGATGCAAGTGTAGTCCTTGACTGGTAGCCGGTGAGACAAGCTGCCCCCCCCCAGGGTGTGGTAAACTACAATAAAAAAAAAAATCACCTGTCATCCCGGGAACCGCCACAGGAGGGCAGGCTCTGCCTGTAGACGATGGCACCATGCGCTGACAGCCTGGGTATCCAGAGCTCCGGCTTGTGAGCCCAGAGATTCAAAGTGAATAGTCGTTGGTCTCCCCCTCTTCCCATTCTCTCCCTCATGAGTTCGTGGTCTCTTCCAGGCCTCTCATGGACACAGCTTCTTTCCTATAAGTCACTCCCAAATGAAGCCTAAATCCCCCTGTTACCTTCCCTTCCCCCCAAGAAAAAAAATCCAACACTTTGGCTCTTTGTGAATCAAATAGCCATTCAGACCTCTCCTTCGGGCTAGAGAGGGATAAATAACTCAATTTTCACTCCTGCAGACTTTGTATTTCTTTCTTTGCTTCCCATCGTCAAAACCGTCACGAGAAAAGGGGTCTATAGAGCAAAATACCGAGGTTCACGACATAGAAGTGTCTGGAATCCGAGCCTCGGTATTTCAGGCAGCGTCTGTTGGTGTTCCCCACGGCTTGCGCAGCGAGGGCACGCTGTATGCTCAGACCACGGTGGGCACGCTGTGTGCTCGGACCAAGGCTGCGATGGAGTGGCAGCAGGCAGCACAGGCTGCAAACACCCGCGCTCGTTAGGTCTTCGATTTTGCATTTATCTTGGTGCATTCAGAAACCTTCTATTGCTGAAAATGTTCGTGACCCCCAGGTTCTGTTAGACGATCCCTGATTTGAGCCCAGAACCATCGCCCTTGGAGAAGGCATGGTGCCGCTCCTACCACGGGGTGGCGCTGTCGCACCTTTCAAGGGGTGAGACCGCATCACCTCCTCCCACTTTTAAAGGGTTATAGGGTTGGTTGGTTGTGTTGGCGCACACCTTTCATCCCAGCACTCAGGAGGCAGAGGCAGGAGGATCTCTCTGCGAGTTCGAGGCCAGCCTGGTCTATAGTGAGTTCTAGGACAACCAGGGCTGTATAGAGAGAACCTGTCTTAAAAAGAAAAAGGGGGCGGGGATAGAATGGACCAGTCATGCCCTGTGCTTAGTAAAACCACTGTATCTTAGGAAAGATCTAGAAACAGACCGTCGGTCAGTCGGTATTTGTTCTGTGGATCCCTCGGGCTCTAACGGGGGCTGTACCCCTGCTTCTCTCCTTGTCCAGTCTCCTGATTAACACGTGAGGGCACTGCCTGAACTCTCCAGATCATGGCCATCTCTCCACCCTGCGTCCCCATCCCTCATGCTTGGGACGGAGCCCGGAGCCTTGTGCCCACACCAGCAGATAAGAGTGTGCCCTGTGGAAGGTCAGAGTGGGGAGCTGGGAGCAGCCTGGATCCCAGGTTTTTGCAAGAGACAGCGATGGGCCCACCGTGTATTAGGTATGGACTCTGCCAGTAACAGGAAATGTGAGGACTCAGAGTCATATAAACCATTAAATGTACTACAGTCCACCTTTCCTACCGGAACGGCTACGATGCCACCACACCCTGAGCCTAGGACCTCCCCCTTTCCCTCACAGCTATCACTATTGACAGGCACAGATCTCTTTCTGGAATTTCTCTCAGCTGAAGGGTTCACTATCTCTCAAGACGCCTGCCTTCTGGAACAGCCTCAGCTGGGGTGTCCGTCACCCATGTTTCCTCAGCTCTCAGAAGGGCACGGATGGATGGCAGGGGGCTGGTAGACAGCTTCTGGATTTAGGAGCGTCTATGCTTTCTCATCCTCAAGGAATGATCTGACTCTGGGAGTGTATAGAAAACTTAACAGAGAGGTGGCTCAGGGGTTAAGAGTGCTTCCTGCTCTTCCAGTCGACCTAGCTTTGTGTTTCAGCACACATGTTGGGCAGCCTACGTACGTGTACCTATAACTCCAACTCCAAGGGATACAACACCCTCTTCTGGCCTCCCCAGGCACCTGCAGTCACGTGCACATACCCACCTCTCATGCACATAAGTAAAAAAGTAAATATATATAAAAAAAAGCAATGTTGACTTCATGAGTAATTAAAAAAATACAGAGAGGTGTCGTCTGTGTGCACAGAGCTCTGGGAACTCACGCCCAAGCCATTAGAGAGTCCCAAATCCCAAGAGCAGCTGTCTTTCTGTTGGACTCTGTCCAAGACTCAGGGGGACACACAACACACTGAGTCCCAGGGCACAGAGCACACAGCGGCTCCATCTGAAGAAGGCTCACTAAGTCTTAGGTTTCTGGAAGGGTGGTGGAAATCAGGAGATAACCAGACAAAACCGTGGAGAAGATAGGGCTCGGAAAACCACACGATGGTCCGAGTGTGTGGACTGCACCGCGCTCAGCTCTAGACAGGAGGGAAGTGTGAGTGGAGACACACTACAGTGCACTGGACACGGAGCTGAGAGGCTCATGTCTCCCAGAAGCGTCGCCTGATACATTTGTTTTCTGTAGTTTTTTTTTTTTTTTTTTTTTTTTGTTTTGTTTTTGGTTTTTTTGAGGCAGGGTTTCTCTGTAGCTTTGGAGACTGACCTGGACCAGGCTGGCCTCAAACTCACAGGGATCTGCCTGCTTCTGCCTCCCGAGTGCTGGAATTAAAGGCGTGCACCACCACTGCCTGGCTGTTTACATATTTTTAAAAGGTTTACTTTGATTTTTAAATTTTGTGGTTATCTGTGTACACAAGTGCAGGTGCTGATTATGGCCACAAGAGGGCACCAGACCCCCAGAAATCGAGTTGTTCTTGCCGGTTTTGAATTGCTGAGAATTAACTGAACTCAGATCCTCTGGAAGAGCATCAAGTGCTCTTAACCACTGAGCCATCTCTCCAGTCTTGATTTCCTTTTTTAAATTTAGTACAATTCTTTGGTGCCTTAATGCAATCAATTCCTAAGAGAATTCTACAAGTCTCGAGTGGAAGCCACACCACGCATTCGCCAGGCAGACCTAAACCCGTCACCCCCCCTTTGTCTTATTTATTTATTTATTTATTTATTTATTTATTTATTTATTTATTTATGTAATTCAGGACCCACTGAAAGCGATCCTCCTGCCTCAGTCTGTCAGGTGCTGGTTTATAGGCATGAGCAACCACACCTGGTTCTATTTCATCCCTTTAATCAATCTGTCAGTCATCTCGTGCTCCTGAAGCCATGCAAGGATTTTGTTTTTTCTTCTCCAGTTTTGGCCCAAACTCTGACTCCATCTGGCCCTGCTGGCCTCGGGACATGTCTCCAGCGTGTGCTGAGGCTTCTGTCCCTCGCATTCCACGGACTTCTGAGTGAGAGCGGCAAGAGAGGAGTTTGAGTCATGGAGAAAATAACTTTATTCTTACTGTGCTTGATTAACTATTATTATTGGATCTCATACAACTGATGTTTTATTTAAGTTGTTTACATCTCAGGGTCCAGCTGACACTGGAACATTGATAGACTTTAAGATTCATTTAGTAAACAAATACAAGTCTGTTAAGGTGGGTAAGGAAGGATGGCAAGCTTTAAAAAGGAAAGGGGGGGTGGGGAGCCGGGCGTTGGTGGCGCACGCCTTTAGTCCCAGCACTCGGGAGGCAGAGGCAGGCGGATCTCTGTGAGTTCGAGGCCAGTCTTGTCCACAGAGCGAGTTCCAGGACAGCCTCCAAAACAATACAGAGAAACCCTGTCTCGAAACACACACACAGGGGAGGGAGGGGGTTCTTTTATGCCCAGAATTTGAGGCAGTTAATGCGGATGAAGCTTACAATCCAAAGATCCAGTGCGCTGCGCTCAGGGCTTGCAAGTGCATGCAGTCTGGAGGACTCGCAGGCTCAGCGTGCGCAGCCGGGCTCGCTCTGGCGCCTTCTTTGCGCACAGTCTGGTAGGGGTCCAGCTCGGAGACCAGCTTGGCGGAGGCCGAGAAGGCATTCCAAAACATGCAGTCCTGCAGGACAGTGTTCTTCACCAACGTCTCCGGTCGCAGACGAAGCTGTGCCTCACTGAGTCTCCTCCTGGCAGCTCGGGCACCATCTCCAACAGGTCTGTGGGGAATAAGCTGTCATCGTTGTGTTCCCAGAGGGAGAAAGACGCAGTGACCGCCTCGCTGGGAGGTGAGTACAGCCCGGCATGGCCCAGGGATGGGCGCAGTGTGGACAGCAGCTCGAACTCCTTCCAGGTGTCCTCGCTGGGCGCGGGCGGCTGCTGGCTCACCTCCCCCTCCCCATCGTCGCACATGAGGTGTGGCTGCACCGAGCCGTAGTCCAGGTCCCGGTGGCCGCTGGCAAGGCTCACGTGGAGGGGCTTGGTCGCTGCTGTGCGTTTGAGGGTCACACCGAGGGGCGCAGAGCTCGACTGATTATTTTTGAGGCACTATAACAATATATTTTACATGAGTTGAGAAGATTGTGGGCAACCTATTCATTATTAGTAAGCAAACTTCAGCGGGGTGGTGGTGGCGCACACCTTTGATTCCAGCACTCGGGAGGCAGAGACAGCCAGGGCTACACAGAGAAACCCTGTGCCAAAAATCAAAAACAACAATAATTATTCATGTAGAGCAGTCCTAATTCAAATATGAAGTCTGGCTTTTTTGTTTTTCGAGTCAGGGTTTCTCTATGGCTTTGGAGGCTGCCCTGGAACTCACTCTGTAGACCAGGCTGGCCTCAAACTCACAGAGATCCGCCTGCCTCTGCCTCCCAAGTGCTGGGATTAAAGGCTTGCACATCTACAGCCTGGCCCCATAATTTTAATCCCGGCATTCAAGGAAGCATTAATAAATTACAAAATTTCCACCCCCTGTCTGTGCTTTTCAGAGAAAGACCCTGGTTTTACATATGATTAAATAAACTATGTGATTTTGTGATTCGGAGTGCTAGTTTCAGAAAACCAAGTAAAACACACCAAATTCTTCCACGGCTGGGGAAGAACAGGCCTGCTGAGCCGACTCTCCAGCCTCACACCAAGTTTTCTTAAATTTGTGTTTCCAAACCTTGCTTTTCATCGTTATCAACTCTCATCACCTGGCTCTGATTACAGTCTTTCAACTTGGAATCTTCTGACAGCTGTGTCCTCCGCAGCCATCGCAATACCGAGCGTTACCAGCAGAGGGCGCGGGAGGGCGGCGCTGCCGGTCAGCGCAGCCACACTCAAGGGTCTCGGTCCCAGGTGCTTTGCGCTAAGGGCACGCGTTCCACCGACGCGCTGGCCCAGACAGGGACTCGAGTGCCTCGGGCCTTGCGTGCAGTAAGTGGCCTCCCGCTGCCCCTCTCCCTCCAGCACTCCGCCTCACCCGCCCCGAGACTGTGGCCCCAGCTTAGAAGCCATGTAGTCCCACTTGCAGAAGTGAGTGGCATCGCCTTCCAAATTCGCCTTTCTGTGGGTCCTCTTGCTCAGCACCGGGAAGGAAGGTTTCTGGGTTCACCTTGCGTCATGGTTGGCTCCTGTCTGATTGTGTCTTGGGTCCTTGGCGTTTGTTAGGCTGATTTTTTGGATTTGGGGTTTGTTTATTTTTAGATGTTTATTTTTATTTTATGTGCTTTGTCTGCTTATATGTACGAAAATCACTTGTGTGCCTGGTGTCCGAGGAGGGCTGAAGAGGTTCACAGAGCATTGGAACTGTGGTTACCGACACTTGTGAGCCTCCTTGTGGGTCCTCCGGAAGTGCTCTGTGTGTGTGTGTGTGCGCGCGCGTGTTGTCCAAGCACACGTGTAGGAATCGGTTCTCTCTTGGTGGTTAGCAAACACTTTTTTTTTTTTGGTTTATCGAGACAGGGTTTCTCTGTATTATTTTGGAGACGTCCTGGAACTCACTCTGTAGACCAGGCTGGCCTCCAACTCACAGAGATCCACCTGCCTCTGCCTCCCAAGTGCTGGGATTAAAGGCGTGCGCCACCAACGCCCGGCTAGCAAACACCTTTACCAGCTGAGACATCTCCCCAGCCCCAGGTTTGGGGGGTTCTTGGGAAATTCTCCAGGTAGCCCAGGCAGGCCTCCGGCTCACTGTGGAGCTGAAGATGATCTCGAACTCCTGTCGGTCCTGCCTCTACCTCTTCGGTGCTGGGACTACATGCGTGTGCTACCCTGCCTGCTTGGCGGCTGGCATCTTCAGTTGAGGTCTGGATGTGGTCCCTCCGGGGGCTTCCCTGCATTGCAGTGGGTGGAACTGTTTCTGCAGAAGACACAGTTCATATTCAGTCTCCATTGAGGTGGAGGAGAAAATCCTTCATAACTAGGGATTCTATTTGTTTGTTTATTTATTTTTGAGGCAAGATCTCGCTTTGCAACACAAACTGGCCTGGAACTTGCTATGTAGACCAGGTTAGCCTCAGACTTCCAGGAATCCTCCTGCTTCGGCCTTCCAAATTCTGAGAATACGGACATACGTCCGTCACTCGACAGTCATAACTTTATGTAAGAAAAACGCTAAGCACATCTTAAGATCTAAAGAGACCCAAAAAAGGACAAAACGGGGTGCCACAGCGGAGGAAGGCTGGGGTAAACCGAGGCAGAGGACGGGCTACTCAGTAACGTTACCTTGAAGGAAGGCTATGGCCGGGCTCGAACACCGACTCAGAGAAACTGGCCTGCGGAGGCGTGGCTGAGCTGGTGTGACGAAGCCCTGCACCATCGATTAAGTCACCAGCTGCCGCCAGTGGCGTCAACGGAGGCCGCACAGCTGGAGGTCTTTGCCTGTGCCAGGGAAGGGTGAAAAAAATGAAGGAGGAAGCCTAAGCCCTGGGCCTGCTCTTCTCCTCAGAGGAGCCTTCCGTAGGAGTGTGTCTGAAGCAAGCAGTAGCCCGGTCCCCGTTGGAAGCCCTCGCTGCCGGCTTTGTCTCTGCAGAGGGTATTTATCCCTGCGTTAGACTTCCTGGGCCAGGTCTGGTTGCCCTGTTCTCAGGACAGCCTGGGGAGAGCTGAGAAGAGCCTGGGGTGGGGGTGGGGTGGGGGGGTGTTGGAAACCGGCTTTTAACTTAACCTTAAATAATTTTCAGTGTGGTTGCCAGGATCTCCTTGGCGGGCTTCAGAGAGCAAACCGATCACCGGGGTGGAATGCAGGGGTCCCCCGGGGCCATGTGGTATCAGGCAGGGGGTGGGCTTCTCACAACTCAGCCAACTAGGCCCAGGCACTCTAGACTCCTCCCCCTTTCGGAGGACTCTCCTGTCCCCATCCCCGCTGAGGAAGTCACCGCTTGTAGGATTTCCCTCGGACCGTCTTATCGGCTAAGGCCGCTGCCCACTCTGTCCTGTGTTAACTGCGTGGTTTTGTGCCCATTTCGTCAAAGGGGACAGACTCACACTACCTGAAGAGAAGCCTGGGTGTCCACTTAACACCTGTACAGGCTTCATCTTTGCCTCTTCCAACTCATTTTTTAAAAAGATTTATTTATTTATTATGAATACAACATCCTGCCTCCATGTATGTCTGCACTCCAGAAGAGGGCACCAGATCTCATCACAGATGGTTGTGATCCACCATGTGGTTGCTGGGAATTGAACTCAGGACCTCTGGAAGAGCAGTCAGTGCTCTTAACCTCTGAGCCATCTCTCCAGCCCTCTAACTCATTTTTTTTTTCTCTTTTTGAGACAGGATTATACTGTGTAGCTCAGGCTAGCCTCAAACTCAAGGCGATCCTCCTGCCTCCGCTTCCCAAGGGCTGAGGTACAGATTTTCACCAGCATACTCAGTGTCTTTCACCAGCATATTCAGTGTCTTGACGTTAAAAAAAAGACACCATCGTACTCAAAGTGTCTATTGTTTATTTTTATCTTTCCTGTGCATTGCGGTGTCTGTGCGGATCTGGGACCCACTGGGACTGGGGTTACAGACGGGTGTGAGCCGCCATATGGGTGCTGGGAATCGAGCCACCAAGCCGTCACTTTAGTCCCCGTGCTCCTGAGGATTGTTTAAAAATATATTTATTTTTAGCCGGGCGTTGGTGGCGCACGCCTTTAGTCCCAGCACTCGGGAGGCAGAGGCAGGAGGATCTCTGTGAGTTCAAGGTCAGCCTGGTCCACAGAGTGAGTTCCAGGACAGCCTCCAAAGCCATAGAGAAACCCTGTCTCGAAAAACCAATATATATATATGTATATATATTTATTTATTTATAGAAGATATTTATTTATAGAAGATATACGTGCGTTCTTGCGTGTGGGTATGTACGTGAGGGTGCAGCGCCCTTGGGGGCCAGAGGAGGGCATCAGATCGCCTGGAACTGGAGTTGCAGGTGGCTGGGATCCATCCCTGAAGGCTCTGCATGCGTGGCTACTGAGCCTTTCCCCAGCTCCCGGCCTGTGTGTATCAGATCCAAACCAAAAGCAAACACTATCAGAGGAGTGTTGGCGTGGGTTACACAGGAATCAGGAGGCTGCTCTCAGGATGTCTCTGGGAAAGAAATACTTACTGGATTTGTTTTGAGACAGGGTGCCATGTTGTTTTGAGACAGGGTGCCATGTAGACCAGGCTGGCCTTGGAGTCATAGGTATCTAAGGTTGGCATCATTCCCCGCTTCTCTGGTCTCTGTCACCCAAGAGCTGGATTGCAATCATGTGTCACCATACTAGGTTTATGCAGCGCTGGGTTTCAAACCCAGGGCCTGTGTGTGCTAGGCAAGCGCCCTACCAACTGGGCTACATCTGCGGCCCTTAAAGCTTGTTCCTGGCACACTTGTCATCCCAGCATGAGAAAGACCGAGGCAGGAGGTATACAGCGTTTTGCCTGCATGTGTGCCTGCAGGCCAGAAGAGGGCGCCAGATCTCATTACAGATGGTTGTGAGCCACCTTGTGGTTGCTGGGAGTTGAACTCACAACCTCTGGAAGAGGGGCCAGTGCTCTTAACCTCTGAGCCATCTCTCCAGCCCAGGATTGTGAGTTTTGAACCCAGCCTGGGCTACACAGAGAGACCTCATCTCAAAGCAAGAAAGCCGCAGATCTCTGCCCCCAACTTGGGTTTGCCTATGGGTTCTCCTGAGTTCCCATTCCCTACAGCTGGTGACTCAGCAGCAACTCCCTCCTGTGGAGGAGACCCTCCCTCCCTCCCTCCCTCCGTCCCTCTCTCCATCCCTTCCTCCCTCCCTCCATCCCTCCCTCCCTCCGAGCTTTCTTACCCCTCCAGGCCCAGGGATCAGCTTCTCTCTGTCCAGGCTGTTCACACCCTTGGGTGGCCATGGCAGGCAGGGTTAGCTTGCTTTCTAGCATGACTCCTCCCTGCTTAACCAGAAACACACAGCCTTGGTCCTGAAAATGTGGGGACTACAGACCCCCACCCAGCTTCTCCTGCACCTCAACCCCAGGGTGGAAAACCAGCCTGACTTCAGCTCAGGTCTGTAGGTATGCATCGATGTCATCCACCGAGGAGCTGCATTTTAAATGTTTAAATTAATATAATTAATAGAGGGCTGGAGAGATGGCCCAGAGGTTAAGAGCACTGCCTGTTCTTCCAGAGGTCCTGAGTTCAATTCCCAGCAACCACATGGTGGCTCACAGCCACCTTGAATAAGATCTGGTGCCCCCTTCTAGCATGCAGGCAGAAGGCTGTATACATAATAAATAAATAAAATATTTAAAAAATTAATATATATAATGATCTTATTCTGGATTAGATGTTTATGTATAGAAAAAGATACTGCCTAATACCTGTGGGTATCAAGAAAAAGTCTTCAGTGTTCTTGATCCAAGGACAGAGATGGGACCTTGTTTGCCATGAAAACCATAGCCACAGGTACTTTGTTTGCTTGTTTTTGGGACAAGATCTCACTATGTAGTCCTGGTTGTCTTGGAACTTGCTATGGAGACCAGGCTGACCTCAAGCTCGTGGATATTCTCCTGCCTCTGCCTCCCAAGTGCTGGGATTAAGGACTTTTTTTTAATTATTTTTTTCACTTTTTAAAATTTAAATTAGAAACAAGCTTGCTTCACATGTCAATCCCAGCTCCCTCTTCTTCCCCTTAAAATTTATTTTATGTTTATTGGTGTTTTGCCTGTATAAGGATGTTGGGTCCCTTAGAACTGTTGTTACAGACAGTTGTGAGCCAACATGAGGATGCTGGGAACTGAACCCAGGTCCTCTGGAAGAGCGGTCAGTGCTCTTAACAGCTGAGCCATCTCTCCAGCCCCGGGGTTAAGGGCATTCGTCACTATGCCTGGCTACGTTACTGTCCTGTATATTTTTTTTTTGCTTGTTTGTTTTTGTTTGTTTGTTTTATGTGCATTGGTGTTTTGACTGTATGTCTATGTGAGTGTGTCAGATCTTGGAGTTAGGGACAGTTGTGAGCTGCCATGTGGGTGCTGGGAACTGAACCTGGGGCCTCTGGAAGAGCAGCCAGTGCTCCTAACTGCAGACTGCTGAGCCATCTCTCCAGCCCCTCCTTTGCTTTTTGACTGCCGCTGTATTTTATTTGAAAGACCTCATTGGGAGAAAAAAAACATCCTTAGGCCAAGTGGTGGTGGCGCACGCCTTTAGTCCCAGCACTCGGGAAGCAGAGGCAGGCGGATCTCTGTGGGTTCGAGGCCAGCCTGGTCTACAAGAGCTACACAGAGAAACCCTGTCTGGAAAAACAAAAACACCAACAACGAAATAGCTCAGCCAGGAGCTGGGTGGAGCAAGCAAGACTGGACCATATCCATCGATAGCTAACCTGGAGCTGAGTGACTAACCCCGCAAAGGAGCCCAGCTACAGGAGGACGCTGGTGTTCCCATACCTTACCTGGTCTCTGTTTTCACTCCGCCACGGCTCGTCAGAGAACCACTGTTAGTGTGGCAAAGGTCATCAAGAAACCCCGCAGTCAAACAGGTGTCCTGCCGCACACCTGCAATCCCAGCACGCGGAAGGCAGGGGCAAGAGGATCGGGAGTTCAGAGCCATCCCCGGGGATCTACAGAGTTCCAGGCCGGGCCTGAGCTACGTTCAACCCTGTCAAAACAAACAAGCAAAAATCAGAACGCGAAGCAGTACGAGAAACCCTGCAGTAGGCTGGTGGGGTGGCTCAGTGGGCAAAGACACTTGGTTGCGGCCAAGCCTGAAGACTCAAGTTCGAGAGTTCAAGCCCCAGGATCCCCCCCCCCAGGGGGGGTTGGGGGTGGAAGGAGAGAACCGGTTCCTGCGTGACAAAAGCAGCTCTCTTGAACCCTGCCTGCTGCCGCCGGTCAGTGCAGAGGTTAGTGCCTCCTAAGGTATGCAGAAGGAGTGAGCCACCAAAGGGTGTTACTGCTGTGAGTGAGGAGGTGAGGCCCCCGGGGTCAAGTGACTCACCAAGCCACTTATCGCATTCTGTGGGCTATAAAAACACGATTATTTTCACATTTGACAGCTTCCAAGTGGAGATATGTCAGCACCGTGTCCTAGCCTGATTAATTGCTCTCCTTTCTTGGTGGTGCGTGCAAGGGTAGTCAGTCAGTGTTAAGTCCACTATAGCCCAGTGGACGCGTGCTGTGCCTGCAGGCCACCCAGCGCTGTCAAGGGGGGAGCTGGGGTGTGACAGGGAGCTTGGGGGCTTCTATTTGAGCCACTTCCCCCTGAAGTAGTCCTTGCTAACAAATCCTGTTAATAAAACCTTGGAGAGGTGCTGATCCCTGGACCACTCACTACCCAGTTATTGCCACTAGGGGGCTCCTGAGCACGCGTCGTCTGGGGTTTGCAGGCGGTCTTAATTGCCTCGTTCGGCCCGGCCTTTGTTGCAGTGGATACTGTTTCCATGGTTAACTTGACTGTCGTGGCGTGTTTTCCCTCCATTATTTATTTTTTGCATGCTGAGCATATATTCAGACGAAATCTTTATCAGTGTCAGTCTAACAACTTTATCTCCTGTTTTTATCAACCACAACGTCCCTTGAACTTGACTCAGCTGGCCACTCTCTAAACAGTCCGCAGCTCTGTGGTGCTGCCTTTCACGGAGTGGAGCAGCAGCGGCAGCAGCAGGCAGCTTAACGCCCAGAGTGAATACTGACGGCAACCGGAAAGAATGGGTCTGTCGTCCCAGTGAGAGGAAGTCTCCTGGCCCATGGGGGCGCATCTGCAGCTCCTGGTGGGCGCCCCGTGGACTTTCTATTTTTTTTTTCGAGACAGGGTTTCTTTGT